AGAGGGCGCTCGTAGGAAGGAAACAGGATTATTGTTTATTGCCCTGCTTATTGTATGCATTACCTCGATTTCGCTGCACTGTTTTCTAAACGCCGTGATCTAATTTTTTGCATTATTGACGGGATGTCATGACTTACGCTGTTTTCACTGCATTGTTTTCTAATCTTGTAATCCAGTTTTGTCGCGTCATTCGTTGTAAAATGCCTTGAATCTTGGCATGGTAAATAAACACCCTATAGGGGCCAAGGAACAAAACAGGCTATGCCGGTGCAAGGGCGGGGGGAACACGGATAAAAGCGGGCTTAATACCCTAGAGCTGGACCAGCAGAATTCGATTCAGCCTCCATCCCGATGGGGAAACTGACTGTAGCCCGTTCTTCACCCCAGCCCATGAGACCAGAACATTCACAGAACTGCCCCAACCTTTTTTAGCCCATGGATGCCTTTGGAATTCTGACACAGGGTGGTGAGAGTGGCCACAAAATGGCAGCCATCAGAAAGCGAGCCAGCCACAAAATGGCTGCTGTACCTCTGTCACACAGTGAAGATCCTTGTGTTCAGGGCTTTTTTTGTAGAAAAAGCCCAGCAGGAACTCATTAGCATAATGGGCCACGCCCAACAGCAAAACTCATTAGCATATTAGGCCACACCCCTGATGGTGCAGCTCATTAGCATATTAGGTTATACCCCATACCTTCCCTTGGCTTGCCCGGGCGCCCCATGACTGTGGGGCACCCGGGCAAGCCGGCCCTTGGACAGGCTGGGGAAGGTACGGGGAGGCATTTAAATGCCTCAGAGTAGCCAGGGGGGTACTGCTCTCTAGGCCTTTCCTCTGTAGCCATGCACGCAGAGGTTTTGGCTGTAGTGGGCGTGGCCAACTCTGAAGCCAGTCGGAACTCCGTTCCTGTGCGTTCCTGCCCAAAAATAGCCCTGCTTGTGTTGCTGTGGCAGCTGCTGCCAAAACAGAGTTCTTTTAAAAATCTGTCCAGCCAATCAGAAACCCTGCTGGGCAAAAGTCCCACCTGGCCTCTCCCACTTTCTGAAAATACTTGGTGGGCATCAAGAAAGGGGTCCATGTTGGGGACCTCTGAGTTAAGCCATGCGTTTTTAAAGGGGAGGCGGATTCTGCCGTCAACAGCAGTCGTTGTTACCCACAAAGACCCTATAGAGGGAGTGCAGGGGTGGTGTTAGTGATTCTGGGGCCACAGTCAAAAGTCCAGGCCCTAGAATCACTGCCCACCCACACCCCGCTATCGGGGTCAAGCAAAGAATGGCCCTCACCCTTTGCAAGCTGGGCAGGAGCCACCATTGCAAGCTAGCTGCCTGTGGCCCAGGAGCCTGCTCTTCTCCCCCACCCACCTTTAAGGGGGTGGGCCGTCAGGTCCCCCCCAAGTGTGAGGCTGGGACAGCTGCCTTTGAATTAAGACTCCTCTGGGTGAGATGTGTGCTTGTCAGCACAAGAGTCATTCACAAAGGCCGAAGCAAATATAAAAGCCCTCCTTCGACACACACCTTGCTCATCGTAACTCTGAGGTATTTTGACAGTGGAATAACCCTGCAAGGTAGGCCGCCATCATTATTCACATCAAAGTTTCCCAAAATAATGCCCTTTCCCTTAATGATCATTTTACCAAAAGTCTCAAGTCAGGCCATACAAAATCATTCCTATATTACTTCATTATTATTATTCTCATATGTAGGCATGGGCATGTATGTATGTATGTATTTTTAATCTATTTCAAAATGTAAAATTAACTCTTTTTAGTTATTATTCCTAAATTTTATTCTTCGCCCCGCCATTAAAAGTACATATTTGTTTTACTGTTTTTAACTTATTTAAATCTATCTATGACAGTATCTTTTGAATGCTGTACAACGCCCTGACCCCCCAGTATGGGGGAGCATGGTTTAGAAATTGAATTTATAAATTTATAAAATCTTTTCCTTTAATCTAATCACCACCAAGAAGAATTTTGCCATGGCTAAAGTAATCGGATGCTTGTCCTTTAATAAAAATGGTACTATCTTAGTTCTATCAACAGACATTAAGTTCCTTAGGACTGGATCCAGCCATTTCACTCTATATAAATCATACCATGGACAATCCACGATCATATGATCCAACATTTCAAGTTCTCTCCATCTACATCCACAATATCTGTCCTGCAATTTGATCGTCATACAACAGCCCCTCAGAATTGCTGATGGCCCCTCAAAACTGCCAAAGTAATATTAACACAACATAAACCCTACAAACTGTGCATAAATGTAACGAGTATTTTTTTTAAAAAAGGTACTAAATATAGACCACGTGCTGACAAAGAATTACACAACACATTCACAGCTGAAAGTCCACACTCATACTCCCTCCCCCAGGGGAGGGGGGATAGGAAATGCCAAGAACCCCAAAGTCCCCGATATGGAATCAGAGGCCTCTTTCCTGCACCGCATTTTAATCAGACATCCAAAAATCCCCTGGCTTTGTAAGTTCGAGCAGCTGTCGTAAGAACAGGTGGCAGGAGCGAGGTCTGGCCATGCCATGGCTGGGAAAGCTAATTAACTTTTGCCTCTTATTACTCAAAATGCCAAACAACCGGGATTTGGGGGGGGGGGAGAAGATGGAATATTTGTTGTTGTTCAGTCGCACAGTCGAGTCCGACTCTTTGCGACCCCATGGACCAGCTCCCTCCAGGCCTTCCGGTCTTCCGCCATCCTCTGAAGTTTGCTCAACTTCATGTTCGTTGCATCGATGACACTGTCTAACCATCTCATCCTTTCCCGTCCCCATCTTCTTTGACCTTCAATCTTTCCCAGCATCAGGGTCTTCTCCAGTGAGTGCTCCCTTCTCATTTGGTGGCCAAAGTATTTTAGCTTCAGTTTCATTATCTGGCCTTCCAGGGAACAGTCAGGGTTGATTTCTTTGAGGATTGATTGATTTGTTCTTCTTGCAGTCCAAGGGACTCTCAAGAGTCTTCTCCAGCACCATAGTTCAAAAGAATCTATTCTTCGGCACTCGGCCTTCCTTATAGTCCAACTCTCGCAGCCATACATGACTACTGGGAATACCATTGCTTTGACCATACGGACTTTTGTTGGCAGAGTGATGTCTCTACTTTTTATCATGCTGTTTAGGTTCGCCATTGCTTTGGGTTTTGAACGCATTCTAAGGGCTTGTTGACGGTGCCGTCGAAACAGACCCCTGGCATTTACAGGGTCAAACACCAGACAAAAACAACCTAGGCAAATCGCAGAGAGGCAAGGTACACAAATACCTTCAGTTGATACAATGAGCGTATTTGCATGGTGAATTACATCTAAAGGACAAAGCATACAGTTCTAGGATAGCAAGACAATAATGCTAGGAAAAGTTGAAGGCAGCAGGGAGGGAGGAAGACCCAGTAGGAGATGGATGGACTCCATCAAGGAAGCCGCGGCCCTCAGTTTGCAAGACCTGAGCAAGGCTGTTAACGATTGGATGTTTTGGAGGTCATTAATCAGGGGTCATTTCCTGCAGGAGCGCACAGGAGCGGAGCTCTGGCAGTAAAGAGCCTAGGGGGTGGGCACATGCAACAAGCCCCACCCCCTGCCCCAGCAGCCTTAAGTCAGAGCAAGAAGCAGCCAGGTAAGCTGCAGAGCCCCCCCCCCGGCCCCCCAGCCCAAAACAGTCCAGTGGCACCTTTAAGA